AGACAAGACACCTGAAATTTAAAGTCACTAAATAAAGTATGAAATAGCATGAAATAATGAATGATGTGGTTGCTCTGGATAGAGGTGAGCTGGTGAATGTTTAACAATTGGAGGCAGGGGTGGAGAGAGGAAGCCCTGATTTGTTCTGTTTCCAATTTCAGGTTGCCCAGGGCCAATTTGAAACTACCCACCAGACAGCAACAAGTTGGGAAGAGATGAGTGCAATTCAGTTGGTTCTTGAGAGTCATAGATAACGCCTGGCTAGCGTGATCAGGCCTTTAAAGAGGAGGAGAACTGGGCTAGACCATTCCTCCTCACACGACGTATCTTTCAGCTAGGAAGGACTATCCCTAGTCTCTCCAGCAAGCAGCTGTAGGAAAGCAACCCTGGCTCTTGCCTTGGTCTCAGTGGATAAAGTGATAGCTCTTCACTCGATGAGCCATCACTTACATTTCAAGGCCCAGCTCAAAGATAAGGATCTTTACCAAACTTATCCCTGACCCTTTCTGTCATAATAATTTCCACTCTGAATCTTTTATTAGAGCAATTACCAAAACCTAACTTGATAATATTGTCCATGGATGGTATATTTCCCCACTAGACTGTCCTTGGAGGACAGGGACTGTCTTACTCTTTCATTGCCTGAGAAGCAGTACTGTGTGGTGGGTCAGATCCCAAGCTCTGGAGCCAGCCTGTTCAGCTTCAAATCCTGACACTGCACTCACTCACCTTGAAACTGTGAGCAAGTCATCAACACCCTCTGTTCTCATCTGTAAAAATTAGAAATTAGGCAGTAATCTCCATCTGACAAGTATGCTGTGATGATTAAGGAGATTACTAGGTGCATTCAGTGCCTAGCACATACTAAATCTTCAATTAATGTTGCCTGGTATTGTTATCTCTAGCATATTACCCAGTGCGTGGCACAGAATTGGTGTGTAGTTGTTGGTGGTTGACTTTCATTAAAGTGAAGCAAGGATGTGATCCAGCTAGTTTGACAGGAAGTTGGGAGAGAGTGTGCTAGAGGGGACTAGATGAACAGATTATTGTTGGGTAAACGAAAATGATATTGTAAAAAAGAATCAGCTGATCATAGAATTTTAAGATCAGAACCTAGTTTTCCAGCTGTGGCATGATGAACACTGAGCAGAGTGGGATCCTCTATGCCAGTGGTTCTCAACCTTGGCTGCACTTTAGAATCACCTGGGAATCTTTTTAAAATCCTGATTTCTGGGCCTCATCCTCTGGAAATTGTTTCTTTGTTATGGGATGAGGCCACAACATTAGTAACAAAGAAACAGAATTTCCAGAGGATGAGGCCCAGAAATCAGGATTTAAAAAAGATTCCCAGGTGATTTTAATGTGCAGCCAAGGTTGAGAACCTCTGCTCTATGCCCTCCCCTCATCCCATGTGCTTGATATTCTGTCTATAAACATATCATTTGTTACTGCAGTAGCTTATATAGTTTGCTGTAAACTTCAGTATCTCATTTTCAATACTGTGCAGTTGCTTTTAAAAAATCTAAATGCTAGACTTTAAGTATAAATACTGCTAGATTTCATTCCATTTGTTTCACTCCATTATGCCAATTAAGTCACATTGCTTCCAACCTTAATTCTCCAATACAGGGTATCTTCTACCCTGTCTAGCTCTGTATCTACAGTGTTATGGCTACCTTATGACTTCTATTTTGTTTTTTGAATCACTGTACAGGCCACTTCTAAGAACAGAGCTCTCTGACATGTCACTAGAGACCTCTTTAAATGTTGGCACTGATTCATTAAAATATATATTTTTAAATATGGATTTTACATTCTTTTCAAAACTAGCAAAGTATTTAATAATCCATATTATATTTCATCTCGTTTATAAGGGTGTCATGAAAAAGTTTACCAGAATGCTATGTCTGCAGCATTTTTTGAGTCACAGATATAGGGAATCTATCGGAAAAGAAAATGCAGCTAGCTTATTGAAGCCTGTTCCTGATTTACCCATGTTAGCTCCCAATACCAACAACTGCCTTTTCCAACGGGAACAAAGGATTCATGTTTCAAAACAGTGAAGTTAACCTTATCAAGGTAGATTAGGCCTTAATGCACATACCTGGATAAGAAGTGTGGACACAATCCTGAGGGTGATGGGAAGTTGTTGAAGTTTTTGAGTAGGTGTCCTATGATGAAGTGATGTTTAAGAAGAGCCATCCGGCAGCAGTGTCCACAATGGACACCAGGAGGAGCTTTATGCGATGTTTGAAGTTGCCTTCAATAATCCCAGATTGAGCTGCTGGGCTACTGGGCTAGTAGCAATAAGGATGGAAGAGAATAAAAGTGGATTTAAAAGGGAAAAAATGCAAAGGGATTATTGGAGGAGAAAGTTAGCAGTAGAAAAAAAATGACAGAAAAATAGGTATTTTAGAACTTCCCAATCTTTTTCACGTCATTGAATGTGCAGAAAATAATATCAGAGTGGCCACTGGGGTAAATAGGGCTGGTTGGAGGTGACCCAACATCATGGGTCTACAGGGCAGGGTCTTCTCTCCTTCAAGTTCCTACCCCCCAACCACAGGCAGAAGACATTGATATCTTCACATGGCTTAGAAGCTATTTGGACATTTCTGCTTTAGAAATAGGTAGTCTTAGCAATATGAGGGCAAACAGACTTTCATTGAAATGAGGACCAATAGTACCAATAAGACTAAAAAATAATCCACAAATGAGTGAGATCATGTGGTATTTATCTTTCTCTGACTGGCTTATTTCACTTAGCATAATGCTCTCCAGATCCATCCATGCTGTTGCAAAAGGCAAGAGTTCCTTTTTTTTTACCGCAGCATAGTATTCCATTGTGTATATGTACCACAGTTTTCTAATCCAATCATCTGCTGATGGGCACTTAGGCTGTTTCCAAATCTTAGCTATGGTGAATTGTGCTGCTATGAACATAGGGGTGCATATATCCTTTCTGATTGGCGTTTCTGGTTTCTTGGGATATATTCCTAGTAGTGGGATCACTGGGTCAAATGGGAGTTCCATTTTTAGTCTTCTGAGGTAGCTCCATACTGTTCTCCACAGTGGCTGCACCAGTCTGCATTCCCACCAGCAGTGCAGAAGGGTTCCTTTTTCTCCACATCCTCTCCAACACTTGTTGTTTGTTGATTTGTTGATGATAAGACTGAGAAACAGCAATCAGGCTATCAATCCCCAGAAGGAAAGTAGGGGAGGGCGGGGGTAAGGGGAAGAGATCAACCGAAGGACTTGTATACATGTATATAAGCCATACCAATGGACATGGACAACAGGGGGATGGGAGCATGAGTGTGTGGGGGGGGGGAGGTTGGGGGTTAATGGGGGGGATGAGGACACATTTGTAATACCTTAACTAATAATAAAAAAAAAAAGACAATAAAAAAAAGACAATAAAAAAAAAAAACAATAAAAAAAAAAAAAAATAAAAAATATACAAGAAAGCAAACCCTTGGTTCTGCCTAATTCTGAACCCAGAAGTGACATAAGGCTAACACAATTGGGAGAAAACTAACCAGCAGTAGAGTGCATTCCAAACAAGATGGCCCAGGACAACAAGCCGTTGCCTGTGTTACAGTGACACAATTAGACAAGGGCAATGGCTGTGTAGGCCTAATTGTGCCTGGAAGTGGGCAGCACCTTCTAGACATGTTGGAGGGGAGTACAAACCACACCTAGGGAGGTACTAGGTAAAACCAAAGTGTAGAACAAGCAGAAACAAAGGAGAGGATTTGGGTTTTGTATAAATATGGACATTTAAATCCATTAATCTAAGCCTGCTTGAAAATTCATGAAGCTCTGCCCATTTTCTTTGCTCCTTATTGATTTAATGCATCTTATTGTGTTAATATATTAAGTAGTTTTGTAGTCCTAGTGCTTTACCTGTGCAGCTAATTTGCATTGTGGTATGGAGGAAATTACAGCTTGGGAAAATGCAAGAGCTTGCAATCCATAATTCCATGTGATAATCCAAGATTTTTAGTTATAGAAAATTAAAAGGTGTTCCCTCTTTCTTCAATAAACTTAATGACAGAGTGAGAACAAAAACCCATCAACACAGTCATGCAGATTCTATTATGAAAACAGGAAAGAATGGCTCTTCTAAAAGATAATGGAACCCACACCTTTCTCCTGATGATTGGCAACAAGTCCACCAAGAGCATGATTCCAGGGGGCACCCACATTTCATATTGGAGTATGTGTGAATGGTGCTCCCTGAAGTTGGGTACACAGCCTGTGTGGCCATCTGTGGCGGCTCACAGAGGGGCCTATATGATTCATCCTGGGGCTTTCACCCAGCCCGGCAGGTGCATATCTGCATTGACCTGTGGCATTCATCACCAGCCTAGCCACACTCCCTTCCCAGCCAAGCTGAGTCAGTATTCTTTAATCCTGACTTATCATTTTATATCAGTTCAGATCTATTCAGTTCCCTCATGGCTTCCCACTGGACCTCTGTTACAAGCCAAAACACATCCTTCTGGCTCATTTGTTTCAGTCATTCTGTTGACCTTTTCAAAGCGATTTGCTGCTCTCACTATCATGCGCATTGTCATAGTTAAATAGAAAAAAACAACAGTCACATAAGCAGGAAACTGGCATCTTCCCAGCACTTGGTGCAGGCTTCAGTTTTAGCACTTACCCCCACAGCACCATAAACATTTATTTACATTTCTGACTCCTTCACTCAGTGTGAGGTGAATGAAAGGCAGAATGATGCTCCTTTGAGCCACAGTTCTTAGTGGGTGTCAGCACATAGTAGGTCCTCTAGTAATGTTTGGTAAGTAGATGAGTAAATGAATAGATTACCTTTCTTAGATTTGGACACAGTAGTCTCATTTTGAGCATATGGCTTAAAGATGATTCTTCTCTCTATTATGTACAATGGCCTTTGTTTAAATCTTCCTGGATGAGGCTAGAAGACATTGCTATGTCTCCACCAATGGTTTCTGGGTGTTTTGTTTATCCCTGTGCAGGTGGGGAAGTGGAAAGACAAGTCCCTGCAGATGAAGTACTATTTGTGGCCCCGAATGTGTCCTGAGACGGAAGAGCAGGAGGATGACCATCTGAGCATCGTAACGCTGGAGGAGGCTCCGTTTGTTATTGTGGAGAGTGTGGACCCTCTGAGTGGAACCTGCATGAGGAACACAGTCCCCTGCCAAAAACGCATCGTCTCCGAGTACGGCACCTTCCCCAGTGGCTTCAGATGGCATGGGATAGTCAGATTTGACCCAGCTGTTGGCACTTGGCCTGCCTGGGACTTGAAGCATAGAATGAATTGAGCACCATGCCTGATTTCCATTTACCATTGAGCAATGGGATTATTGGTAGCCCTGTGGTCTGATGTCTAGTTCTGTCCAGATCATGGCCTGGGAGAATTTCTGCCAGCTATACTAATGTTTTTTTGGCCTTGTCTGATCTCAGTGACTAGAATCTCCAGTTTGTGGAGATTCAAGTTTACATTGATGATGAAATATATTTGGGGGAGCCAACAAGTCCTAAAATTTTGAGATTTAGAAACATTTTAGAAATCAGGATAATGGTTCCCTTTGGTGATGGTGGGAAGTGCCTGAAAGGGAGAATAAGAGGCCTCTAAGAGAGCAGGCAGACAGCTCTGGTGGTGGTAAGGATGGGGGGAGATAATGGGATTTAGCAATAAAGAAAAAAAAGAGAAAGAACTCATGATCATGGACAACAGTGTGGTGATTGTAGGGGGAGAAGGGGTTGGGTTCAGGTGAAAGAGGGTATGGGGGAATAAATGGTGATTGGGGTGGGGGAGAAAATAAAAATATAACTCCCAAAATAAAAGAGGCCTGTAAGGTGCTGGCAGCTTCTCTGTATCTGGATTTGGGTGCTGGTTAAATTGGTGCATTTATTGTGTGAAAATTCATCCAACTGAACCCTTAGGACAGGTGCACTTTCCTGATGTATATTATACTTCAAAGGAGCATTAAAAATTGTCAGAAAATCTAGTTTGCTGCCTTGAGTTAATGAGCGAATTGCAGCTCTGTGGTCTGATTTATTCCTTCGTTTAGGCCTGATGTAAATTGTGCTGAGCTATGAACGGGGTTGGGGTTGTAATGGCAAAGGGTAATATTTTGCCTCTTACATAAAGCCTTGTTTTTGTGTTGCTTTGTTTCTTTAACTGCTTAGGAATAAAACAGATGAGGAGCCAGGTTACATCAAAAAATGCTGCAAGGGCTTCTGTATTGACATCCTTAAGAAAATTTCCAAATCTGTGAAGTTCACCTATGACCTTTACCTGGTCACCAATGGCAAGCATGGGAAGAAAATCAATGGAACCTGGAATGGTATGATTGGAGAGGTGAGTATCAGGAATCAAGGGTCATTTCCAGATCATGACCTGGGAAAATTTCAGCTAACTGTACTAATGTTTCTTTGGCCTTGCCTGATCTCAATGACTAGGACCTCCAGTTGATGGAGATTCAGTTTACACTGTTTCATTTAGATATCAAAAACCCTCATTTTACTAATCTTAGAAAATATAAACTAGTAAATAGAGTATATACTCTTCCCACTGCTCAAAGAAAACCACTATGGGCGATGAGTTATTTCCCCTGTGAAGGTTCCTCCCCTTCCTGAATGTTCTAATTGGAGCATTGGGTCTTTCTTCCCAGGTGGTCATGAAGAGGGCCTACATGGCGGTGGGGTCACTCACCATCAACGAGGAGCGATCCGAGGTGGTCGACTTCTCTGTGCCCTTCATAGAGACCGGCATCAGTGTCATGGTGTCACGCAGCAATGGGACTGTCTCACCGTCTGCCTTCTTAGGTAGGTGATGAGCTTGCTGATGTGAAGGAAATAGACACAAGGGCAGGTAGATGGAATGAGGCACAGTGAAGGGCAGGTGGCCAGGCTCTTTCAGCCAGGAGGTGGTTTGCTGGAAGCTTAGCTCAGCCAGGATTTCATTTTGGGGGGTTTCAAAATTGATTATTCTCTAACATGAAAACTGAAGAACACTACCCCCCCAAAATAGAAAGGGTTATAAGATAACAGTGCTGGAGTGGTAATCAAGGGTCCTACTTTAGTCCCATTCCTGCTTCTTAATCATCATTTGACTTTGAGGAAATTTTCTTTATCCTCGGACTCAGCTTCCTCAACCATAGAAGACATTTCAACTAGCAGATCCTTGAAGCTGCTTTCTGCTTTAATAATTTCTAATTGTGAATATCATTGAAATACATATGATTTCTAAAAATATATTGATTGATTGAGAGAGAGAGAGAGAGAGAGAGAGAGAGAGAGAGAGAGAGATTTGTTGTTCCACTTATTTATGCATTCATTGGTGGTTCTTGTATGTGCCCTGATTGGGGATTGAACAGCAACCTTGCCATATCAGGATGATGCTCTAACCAACTGAGCTACCCAGCAGGATGAAATACCAATGATTCTAAATTTTCTTCAAGAATTGAGCTCAGTGCTACCTAAAAAGGTTTTCTGTTTCCACATGAATTTTCTGAAGCTTTGTCATATAAAGCTGATCTGATTCTCCTCCCCATCTCACTCCAAGCTTCCTCGTAGCATTCAGTGCTTCCCCACTCTCCAGCATCACTTAGGTGTTAAATGTTTTAGATATAAGACTAGGTAAGACCAGGGTTTCAATTAAATGAACTCTCTTATGAGCTCATACCCTATATTTTTGGCAAGAGCTGTGAGAACAAGGGGTTGAAAAATAATGTGTCACCTTGAAAACAGAACACTGGGATAGGAGACAGGAAGCCTAGTTTGGATATAAGATGTAAGCCTTTGGACAAGTCACAGTCTCTCTAATGGACATCAACTTTTTTTTATGAGGATGTTGGAATAAACCATGACTAATATTTCCTTAGGCTCTATGGGGGAGGGGGGGTATTCAATTAAGGCACTGCAAAGTGGTGTTAGAGATTCTATACTTTTCTCTAAATTACTTAAGTTTCCCAGCCAACCTTCTTACTCGCAGTCAAGCCAATTCTGGCTCTTCCAATTTTATATGAAATGTTATTAGATAGCACACACTCTATGTATGCATTAATCCTCATAGTAGCTTTATGTATTTTATTTGCTTTTTCCTTTACAAGGATAATTTGAACATTAAGATATACAAACAAAACTACAGTTTAGGCCCAGCCGGCATAGCTCAGTGGTTGAGTGTTGACCTGTGAATTAGGAGGTCAAGGTTCAGTTCCCAGTCAGGCCATATGCTCAGATTGTGGGCTCTATCCCCAGTGTGGGGCATGCAGAAGGCAGCCAATCAATGATTCTCTCTCATCATTGATGTTTCTATCTCTTTGTCCCTCTCCTCTCCTCTCTGAAATCAATAAAAACAAACAAACGCACACAAAAAACACACACCACATTCTAATTCTAACTCTGTCGGCATAGAACTAACCTTAATTAGCTTCTAAACTAGAAGAGCCAGTGATACATTGGGATAGCCCTAGAATGACATAGGAATGCCACGCAGGGTGTGTGTGTGTGTGTGTGTGTGTGTGTGTGTGTGTGTGTGTAGCAGTAAGTTAATTGCAGCAGTGAGAGAAGCCAATATTTATTGAACACCTACTATGTGATATGCCAGGAATTATTGTACAAACTGTGACTATATTATCTCATTGATACTATCATTATACCCATTTTTTGGCTTAAGAACTGAGTCTCAGGTTAAGCAATTTTCCAAGAGTCTCTCAGCTAGTAATGGGCAGATCCAGATATGGCTGCCTTCAGAGCCTGTGTTCTAACACACAGTTTGAGCTCTAAAATGTGGTGGTCTGCCCTGTGGCTCAGTGGATAGAGTGTCACCCTGCGGACTGAAAGGTCCCAGGTTCCATTCTAGTCAAGGGCATGTACCTTGGTTGCGGGCACATCCCCAGTGGGGGGTGTGCAGGGGGCAGCTGATTGATATTTCTCTCTCATCGATGTTTTTAACTCTCTATCCCTCTCCCTTCTTCTCTGTAAAAAAAAAAATCAATAAACTATATTTAAAAAATAAAATGTGGTGGCCAGAGACTAAGATGTGAGATAATACAATGGGAAAGCACAGACCTTTGCCCTCACTGACCTCACTTCATAAACTGGTCCTGAGAGGACCATGACCTCTGAATCTAGTTCACTGCTCTGTAAAATGAATATGGTAAACCCAAAATGAAAGAGCCATTATAAGGACTGGATAAAGTATGTGGAGAAATCACTTTCTAAATTGTAAAGACCAATACAAATATGATTGTTGTTGTTGTTTTATACAGAAAATTTCCCTAAGCTTAATGGGGGGGGGGGGCAGAGAAAGTACTTTTTACTCAGTTATTCCCTAATTTTAAACAAAAGTGAAATCAGGGTAGTATTGCAATCAATTGGAACCAATGGGGAGAGATGTTCTCTACTCCACTGCTTAGAGGCTTTGAATTGTACCTTCTACCTCCATCTCTGGCTGCCACAAAAAGGTTTTGCATTTCATAGCTGGCATGCCCTTATAAAAGTCCTTTTGAAATTGATTAAGTGGCCAGGCTTTTATAATTCCCTTGAGAGTTCACAAGTAAAGGTTTCAAGTAAGAAAATATTTTCTAATTTCCAGCCATTTTTCCCTTTTTTTAACTTCATCTTTATTAATGATTTGGAAGATGGAGAAAGCAGCATATTAATTCACATAGTTATGAGTTTACAATGTGATGTGTTAGCTAAAAAGGCCAGAACTATTTTGAGACACAATTGAGGGAGCAGTATATCATGGGACCAAAGAGTGTCCCTTCTTATAGGCCTTCAGAGAGACGGCTACTGGAAGGTAGTATTCAATTTTTAGACACCTGTAAGCCAGAAAGATGTAATACAACTGGAAGAAACTCAGCAAAAGCGATTAAAGAAAGTGTAGTGGATAATTATTGCCCTCTTGCCTGACCTTGTCCCATCAACTATGTGACCTGATGATAGAGCCTGGCTTGTAGTTGTCTGCTTAATTATAGATGAAGCATGTTCCTTGTCATCTGCTAAATTCCCACTGTTGTAAATACTGCTATTCAATGTGGATGTGTTTTTTAACACTGACTTATATTCTCACACCCTAATGATGTCTAATAAAATATATACATCAAATTGGGTTAAAAAATGTAAGTATATGAAAGTTTAAGACAAGTGGGGGAAGGGAGCTATTTGTTGTATGTAATTATTATAGAATCAGTTCAAGCCTGAAATAGTAGCTAAGTCTGTTGAGAATGAATTTGGCTCTTAGGCTTGCGAGCATTGGTGAAGACTTTTCCTAGGTCTCTACTGTGTGGTGTGGCCATGTAGATGACACCATAAACCAGGAATCAGTCCAATATGATCCATTTACTCCATATCTGGTATGTCTTCCAGTTGTACCATTTACTGAAAGACCCACATACTGGTCCAATGCAGAAACTATCTCTGTAGTCTCAAAATTTCATAGGCAAGATGCTGTCCTTTTTATGTACTTGAAAGAAAATAAACCTTGACTTGCCCATCAAATAAATGGAGATGCTCAGGCATAGCCTCTTACTTCTTCCCAGTCCAGGCCTTGGTTGTCTGAAGGGATGTACACACCTCTCGCTTGTTTTCCCCCAAAAGTGCATGTTGGATAAGTGAATAAATAGGTAAATTAATTAGAATCTCTTTGTTCTCTGTTTTAACCATCAGCACTGATTTTTTCTTCCTTCCCCAGAGCCCTTCAGCGCTGACGTCTGGGTGATGATGTTTGTGATGCTGCTCATTGTCTCAGCTGTGGCTGTCTTTGTCTTTGAGTACTTCAGCCCTGTGGGTTATAACAGGTGCCTCGCTGATGGTAGAGGTAAGTCCATTAAAACCGCTGCATTTCTGCATTTTTCTAGCTCTCAATTTCGAACCTCTGAACCCTTCATTTGCTTTCTTCTCCTTAACTAACCCGTTTCTGAAAATGAACCCTCAGCTTTCTATGTCACCAGCTTGAAGACTCATTAGAAATAACCCAATTAAGATGTTAGTTTGAATCTATATGTCCCCACCCTGGCTCAAGTCTGATCCCAAACCCAGTTCCACCCGTAAGGGAAATGAGAGGAAAGCTGGCAGGAGATACTTGTAGCATAGCCATATAAGAGGAAGCTTTTTTGATAACCTTAGGCTAAGAGCAGGCTATGAGAGTAGTTGTGGCTGAAAGAGTTCTCCATAGCCAAAGGACCGCCACTGAGGTACAACATCTCCAAAGCACATGCCCTGCTCTATCCCTCTGCCAGGAAGTGTAAGAGTTGGATATTTGAAATACAATGGACAGGAGATTACAGTTCTCACCCACAGCTACTACTGGGGGAAGTCCAGTTTCCTGGCTAGGTAAGTCCAGAGATGTGAGGGCTGCCTTTGTGTTTGAAGCATTTAAGAAGGGGGAGATGGGGTCCTTATAAATAGCTCTTCTAAAGTTTCTGACACTCTAGGGTTAGAAAATATTACACCTTTTCTGAGAGTTTTATCCTGAAGTTAGACCTTCAAGATGAAAGATTCTTAGGTTCTTAACCCTGGATATACATAAAAATTATCTGTGGGACACTTAAAAAACAAAGGTGCGTGACCTGATTTTCGAATATTCTGATTCACTAAGTCCAGAGTGGGGCTTGGACCATTGCATGTTTCAAAATAGTGGTTCTTTACCTTGGTTGCATATTAGAATAATAATCCCAGACCATACCAGTTAAATAAGAATCTCTGGAGATGGGTGCTAGGCTGCTGTATTCTGAAGTAGCTGCCTAGTGCTTCTGTTGACTTCACAGTCCGTGCTGTCACCCACCACTGCACTGAAGTATTTCCAGGTGCCGACCTACCTTCTTATCTGTTGTGTGAACTCTGGGTGGAAGTTTGGCTGCCTCCACAGCATGGTACAGTCCGGGCTTTCCATCTCTGCCAGAGGGTCATCCAGAAGCTTGACCTGCTCCCCATCCCAATGGGCATTGCTAACAAGTGAAACATCTGAGAAGCACATAACTACATACATAGGTTGACCATGTCAAGAGCTTAAGTTAGTGTGCCTCCTCCCCTACACTGGAAGAAAATCAAGGAGATAAAAATTCAGATATAAAATTCAGAACAAGGACTTACTTTACAATTACTTTACCAAACAATGCTTTGTCTTCACAAAGGCATTCAACACGGGGCCACTTTAAATATTAAGACTCCTTGAGGCATTTTACAATGTATAAAACTTTTATTTATAAACATCTTTTTAGTTACACATCTGTTCCATGAAATCAGGTCTGTATGCACAGATGTGTGTGCACAGTTAGATATTAGGCTCGACATGTGTAGTCACCGGTGATTTAGTTGGCTGAGCAGATGCTGCAGGATCACAGGTAATATCGTAAGACCTGAGCTAATGTGTTGTAAAACTGTGCAGGCAGATGTTCATTTCTACAGTGGAGGGGCTACACGCAGACCTAGGCATCAGGCAAAATCTCATCATCGTCAAGCAGAGAAAGCAGTAAAGTCACAAGAAGATTATCAGCAGAAGTCTTGACACTATCTGTGTGAAGATCAGGGGAAGGAAGGTCAAGGATAGCCTGCCTTAGTGCCCACAGCTACATGTGGCAAAGCTAGGGTTTATGACTACCTGCCTGGGCTTCCTGACATTCTTTTGTGCAGGAGCTGCTACTGTAGGAAACCATTTGGAAAGTGTTGGCATTGGAGAGGGGTCAGAGTTGTCCTTGAAACATTCAGTGCTTGATGCTAGACTGTAAGAAAAAAACAGGATAAGGTGCACTGAAAGCCATTTAGCATCAGTGTGAATAAAATTGGAGGAGGTTTATGACAATGGTAGAAAAAGACCCCACACAGTTCTTGCTGATCTTTTTGAAGTTGAAATATTTTCTTGGTAGATAGTAATGTAAATTTTAGGAACAACAGGAATAGGGACATGTGTGTGATGATAATGGGGTGGTTGCCTTTGTTATTTGGATTTGATATGATCTTGAGGGTCTTGATCTTAGGGGAAGAAAGCTGGCCCCTCCAGTGCTCTGACTGAGTCATGACCATTGGTGGGAGCAAGATCCCATATGCACCCAAGCCTCTGCTTTTTCTCCCGAGAAACTTTCTTATGCCCTCAGGGGGTCCCTCCCAGGAGAAGAGAGACACAAGCTCTCTACTTAAAAAGCTTTCTGTGAAAGGGCTGGGTCTTGGTTGGAGGGAGGATTTCCTGCTCTGAGCAGGAACTTACCAGCTCTGTGTGCTTGTAGGTTTCAACAGAACCAGTGACTCTGTCTTAACTTTCTGTCTTTGTCTTTTGTTCATTTCAGAGCCAGGGGGCCCATCTTTTACCATCGGCAAAGCTATTTGGTTACTGTGGGGCCTGGTGTTTAACAACTCCGTCCCGGTGCAGAACCCAAAGGGGACCACCTCCAAGATCATGGTGTCAGTATGGGCCTTCTTCGCTGTCATCTTCCTGGCCAGCTACACTGCCAACTTAGCTGCCTTCATGATCCAAGAGGAGTATGTGGACCAGGTTTCTGGCCTGAGTGACAAAAAGGTAAGAGGACCATTTAAAACATTCTATCTTTCTCTCAATCTCATTCTGAACCATACTCAAAGTTCTCACATACCTGTTAATTTTTCTAACTCTTTAGACTCTACAGTTCTTTCTTATGTTTCCTTCAATTGGAGGAGGTCTGAAATGGGAGCAGAAAACAATATCCCTACTGAAATAATATTACTTCACATTTGCCTTCTGATTTTGTGAAAGGTTGTTATAAGTACACCCAGTGTTGCAAATAAGAGGCTTGGTATGTTAGCAGCTTTCTGAGTACACGGTACTTGTTGTTGGATACACTTGGGTGGCCTATCCACACGGGGCTTCTGTTTGGTGTTATTAGAGGGCTGCCCCATGCACCCACGCTGAGGGCACTGGCCCATTGTGGCCTTCATTTTCCTCCCAGTGGGGTTTGGCTGTGGGGCTCTCTCTTTGTTCCCCTGCACACTCGTGTATTCCTATGGCTGAGCAGGAGGGTTGTTCTCCTTGTGTCCTGAAGAGAAGTAACTTCTATTTAACTTGATTGCCCTGTGTGATGCCGATGAATGGGCTGCCCCCATACCAATTGCAGGCCTCCCTGCTGGCCTGTGCAGTTGAGACAGGAAGGAAAGTGTCTGCTGGTTTCCAACTTTTCTGGGTGCAGATGTGCACAACCCATTCTGAATGCATCTGACTCTCTAGGTCTGCCAGAAGCATCACGGCTTCCATGGCAGCTCTGTCTTCTGAAACTGTGATAACCAGATGGTCCATGACCAGTAATAGGAGTTACCTTCACGGTGTATCCAGTAAAGCTCCTGGGTGACCCCAAAATGATTCTGGAGACTTGTACTTACAACAAATTTTCTACTCTGTTGTCTTAAAATGTGGAAAATGTTGATTTCCCACCCCTTCCACCATGATGAAGCCATGAAATATAGAGATGTGTGTTTAGACCAGCTAGGTCCGACAGTGAATGATTTATCACATGGGTGTGGTTTCCCAAAGATAAAACTTGAAATACTTAGCAAATGGTTTGAGAAGAGTGGAAAGGAGGAAATATTCTCTTCAGGGGCTCTATTCTGATTTCTCCATCTGCTCAACACTACTCACTAAGAATATTCAAAAGCATGTGAGAAAGATAAATAAGCTTCTTAGGGGAATGAAAAAAACTATATATATATATATATATATATATATATATATATATATATATATATATATATATATATTTCACTATGTTTACTTCATCATGTTATTTCATTCTCTGATTAGTCTTTCTTTTTACTTTATTTTTCTTTCTTATTTTAAAAAAATATTTCCTCTCTGGTATTTCTTTCTCCATTATTTTTAAGATTTGTTTATTTCTCTCTTCTAACTCATGATTTATCATGCATTCATTCATATATTTATTCATTTATTTTTAAACCTTTTTCTCATTGTTCCTTTGTCTACATTCTTCCTTCATCATTTTCTCCCCTATCCCCTGTTACAACCACTACTCTTTGTGCCTCTTTCTGTAACCTGGGCAGTAGTGGGGCTACACACAGCTGCTTCTTCAGGGCTCCATGCTGGGATGTGGCGTGGCTGGGGTGGGGATGTGAAGCATGACAGATCATGTGTCTATGTGTGGGTTTTTCAGAGGTAAGGCCGGCATGTCCTCACACCAGGATATGGCTGAGATGTGGTGGATCGTGTCCCCACATAGAGTATGGCAGCACCCTGTTTCCATGCAGGAGGCAGCATGGTAGAGGTGTGGTGGGTCACCCTCCTGGGGCTCTGGGCTGTAAAGTAGGGAATCCACCATATTTATCACCTTGTTTTCTTCAAGTGCCTGAGAATTGCTTAGGACACTATATTTTTCTTTCTCAGACCCTCATGGGCTATCCAGCAACAATGGAATAATCTATTTGAACTAAGCATAATTGGGATGGAGGGGGATTGTTTTCCCTTCTGTGGCTTTGAAAGACATTTCATTCTAGGCTACTGGAACCAGAAAGACTTCACCTGTCTGTCTTCCACACCATGTTGTTTATGATCTGAAATGTTGAATCTCGTCAGTTCTTTGCTTAAAGAACTTCAGTGGCTCCACTACTTATAGAATAAAGAAGATTTTTTCACATGTGGCTTTCAAAGCTTTTATGTATGATGCCCCATGTGTCTCATTAGCCAGTACTTAGATTCTTGCATCCTACAATTCTAGGCATCCTCCACTCCATATCCTCCCCAACTATGCCTCTATCTATGCATCTGCCTAAAATGTTCTTCTCCTCACTTCATTCACCAAACTCCTATTGGAACTTCAGGACCCAGATTAGAGATCACTTCATTTGTGGAGCTTTCCTTAGCTCATCTGGGCAGTTATTCATTCTCTCATCTGTTCTCATCTGTCATGGCATTCATACCTTTACCATAACTCTTGTCTTCCACATTGTACTGTAGTAACCTGCAGGTCTGTACTTGACTATCTCCTTCTATCTGGTCATGAGCTCCAAAAGGTCAGTGATCATAACTTGGTTAACATTTTTTTAAGTCTGTTGGGAGAGAGGGAGAGAGGGAGAGAGGGTATATTTACCGAAGAGCCTCTTGTGCAGAGCTGAGTTACTAAACATTATAGGCAAAGAAAGCAGCAAGAGAGCCAGAACCCTTTAACAGCTGTTTAATTTGAAAATGCTGCAAAATGGTTATCTCTGATACATTTCAGAACTTTGCAAATGACAAAATAGTAAAGTGTGAGCATCCTACCAGAAAGTGTCAACATAATTTACATAATTATAGAAAACATTTAGTAACTAATGACATATAACTATATATCGGTGTCAGGAGCAGTAATATAAATTATAGAGTTTTTTGAAAGTACACTGAAAATGTCGAAATTCTTATTGTTTTTTTACTTAGAACACCTAAAGAAAACATAGACTTGGGACTAACTTTGCATGAAAGGAAGTGTATTCTGTGAATTTAGAAAAAGAAAAGAATAAAGTCATCAAAACAATATTCAGAATAGAAATGAGGTGATTTTGAAGATTTTTTCAGTGTAATTAAAGTTTCATCAAGGAAAGTAACAGTTAAAATGAAGAAAGATTTCTAAACTTACTCTATCACAGATGACATATCTTCTGTTAACTCAGATCAAATGATAAATAGCTTAGGTTATGATGGGAAGATATTTGTAGCCATTACATTTATATATATTTTTTTAAATTATCTTCAACTTTATGGCAGAGACATGTTCCCATATCCCATGCATGTTAAGGCACAAAGTCAGAATGCTCAGAGTTAAATTTCCGTGAAAATATATTTCGGGGCTTCTTTTTACTGGATGGCTTCCATTTTGCAATAGCACATGACATCAGTGAATTCAGAATTACCCACTACTTGCTATAACTAAATATGGGTGCAAGTGCTAACATATAGCAGCCTTGCTGTACATTCCATCAGCTCCCCCGTGGGAGGACAATGGAAGGGAGCTGGTGACATCTTTCTTCTCCTAACAAAGAGCCCACAGTGCAAATTCTCATGTTTCTCGCCTATCTAGATGGATTTCTCCTTTCGCAGTCTGCCAGCCACAGTGTGGAGGGGAAAGAGCTTGGCCAGGTGAAAGATGAGACATATTTGCTGGGCACTGGGCACATTAAGTATGTCACAGATATGTTATATGTGTAATCTTCATACAGGTATGATTAGTCCCATTTTATCAATAAGGACACTGAGACTCTGGGAAGTTTAGTGAATTCCCTAAAATCACACATTATCAAGTGACAGAGCCAAGGTTTGAGCCCCTGTGTGTTTGGCTCTAAAATCACTTTGCCAGGATGTCTCCCTTATAGTTAATCCCAGACAAAGCTATGACATAGCTAAGGATTGGGATTGACACCCCTACCCCCACTTTCTCATTTCATTGCCTACACTCTCCTTTAAGGACTTTCTGTATCAGCTCCACTTAACCCAACCCTTCTCAGGGCATAGTACACTACCACTACCAAGACTAGTATTTCTACTTCTACTACTACTGCCATTACTGGTAATAATAACAGTTAACATAACCTCAACAATAATATCCCTGCTGACATTTCTTCAGCTTTTATGAGTCAGGCATAATGCCAAATACATTACATAGATTACCTTATGTAATGGTGCTATTAATATCTTCATTTGTACATGAGGAAACTGAAGCTTGGAGAGGTTAGATAATTTGCCCTTCTGATGTTCCTGGCTGCCTATAGCCCCTAAACAGTGTGCTATCCTCTTCAGATACCCATGGTTTTAATCACCCTCCTTCCTATCCTCCCATCTACCTTGTCATGACAAGTTTACCAAGTTAGATCCTTTTCCTCTCCTAAAAAGTAGCTATCTGATTAACAGGTCCATAATAAGTAGGTAGTATTTTAACATTTGCACTTTCTATAATATGACTTTCAGAGGTTTTACTTTAAACAGACAATAATGATGATTTCTAGTAATTGGGCAAGCTAATGGCCTTCAAATTGACTTTAGTGTGGTCCCATTGTGACCCTGAGGTTTATGTCGCTGTTGGAGGGTGGGAGAGGTTGGCAGCAGGGGAGAGAGAGGTCGGTTATGAAGTCAGGGGTGAAGAAAGCCTGCAGGGAGGCAAAGGCTGCGAAGGTCACTGGGGGCCACCATCTGGCCACCGGGCTCCTGAGGGTATGTGGCTCTGTCCTGCTTCACACATTCCTACCGTCAATCTGATGTACACCCACATCATATTTTGCAGTTCTGTTCCATAAGGAACTAGTGGAACTTTATTAACTTCAGCTTGTCACAGAGGTGCTCATCTGGCTAATGAGGGCAGCATTATCTGCCTGCATCATTGGAGGTATGATTAGGATGGCCTACTAACAACTAAATGAGAACCCCCTGGCTTTTCTAGGTAACGGTGATTCAGAGTTTCTGAGAAGTCCCATAGAATCTGGAAGTCACCTCCTATCCTTTCGGGATAAAGGCAGGGTATGGCTTTGATTAGTCAACATGCAAACAAATAAGTAAAGAGGCATTTTTGGAAG